GTGGCCACTGCAGTCGCAGCTCGGAGAGGAGAGACCCGTGCCATCAGCAGCCGGTATTCGGTGAGTTTAGCTGGGTAGGGTTTAGAGTTTAGGGTTTAGGGTTTCGGGTTCAGGGTTTGAGGGTTTTAGGGTTTAGGGTTTAGGGTTTAGGGTTCAGGGTTTTAGGGTTTAGGGTTTTCTGGGGTTTGCGATTTAGGTTCTGGGGTTTGGGGATTTCGGGGTGTAGGGGTTTAGGGTCTGGGGAATTGGGGGTGGAAGGGTTTACTTAGGATGTTCCAGAGCTTTTGGGCCCAAAACTTTGCTACGAGTTCAACTCCTAGGGTTTAGGGTTTAGGGTTTAGGGATTTAGGGTTTAGGGTTTAGGGTTTAGGGTTTAGGGTTTAGGGTTTAGCCTAAATACTAAGGGTCCCCTTTTTCCTACTATTTGGTCTTTATTAAGGGAGCCCAAAAAGGAAAAGGGCAAAAGGGTACTACTGGGAAACCTAGATTCAGGATCAGTGCGTGTACTCGGCAGTTCCACCCCTTGATCTGCAGAGTGAGCTGGTTGCATGTGCATTTAGGGTTTAGGGTTTAGGGCTTAGGGTTTAGGGTTTAGGGTTTAGGGGTGTGCTAAATCTGTCTGATGTCTGCTTGTATGTAGGTAGGTATGCAAGTGCATATCTGCATGCACGGATCTTGGCTAAACTACCACGTGTACATCCATCTAGGCTATAGGACACATGGGCATTACATGCCCCAAGAACTAACCGTTAAACTAACCCAATGCACAACATGAACTGTAGAGGGGTAGATGGAAGGATGCAAAGATGGGCAACATAAGAAGATACACACACACAGAACGTCAAATGATAAGTTGACACCTAGACATAAACCCTACAACCTAAACCCTAAACCCTAAACCCTATAAGCCCGAAACCCTAAACCCGACAGACTCTAGACAAGATGATTGTTTGCCCATGCAGAGTTACTCTGAACTTCCGCACTTGCATTGCTCACGGCCTGGAACTGGAAAGGGGACCTGCTCAACCCAAAAAGCGCTTTAAAAACCTCTTAGCCCCAAATGTAGGGGCCCCCTAAACCCTAAACCCTAAACCCTAAACCCTAAACCCTAAACCCTAAACCCTAATTACCGATACCATTTTGGGGGCTCCTTATCATAGTTTTAATACAATTGGGCCCCAACACCCTATTCTAATTATTAAGGCCCCTGGACCCTAAACCGGGATAGAACCCTTTAAAGAACCCTTTAAACCGGGATAGAACCCTTTAAGGAACCCTTTAAAGGAGCCCCAAGAGAATCCTTTTCCAACTATTCAGGCCCCTATACTAAGCCGGTGCCAATGCATCCCAGAGACGCCAAGACCCCTTAATTAAGGAGTTTAGGGTTTAGGGTTTAGGGTTTAGGGTTTAGGGTTTAGGGTTTAGGGGACTCTCATAGGAACCCAAGTAAGATCTAAGGTGTATTCCGTAATTAAAGAACATTGGAGTCTCTGGGTAAGCCGGGGCCAAAGCATCCAGAACGCCCAGGATCCTGCAGACGGAGCAACCCCGGGCTTCGGCGCTTGTAATGTAGGGACCTGAATAGTTAGAATAGGGTTCTTTGGGGGCTCCTTTAAAGGGTTCCTTAAAGGGTTCTATATGGGTTTAGGGTTTAGGGGCCTTAATCGTGGTATTGGGGTATATTATGCTATACTTACAACTTATAATATCTGTTCGCTCGCTGGCTTTCTTTGTCCTGTCCGGTGATTGCTTGGAGGATCATGGGGATTAGTTAAGTTTGGTTATACGTACCTTAGCTGGGGCTATAAACAATTCTAGGTACAGCTATCCTAATCATAATCCTAGTCAGTCAACTTCGCAGCAACAGTTGAATCAGCTGCGCTGAAGCATGAAACCCCATGGCGGTGGGCCTTTTTCACTCTGGACAGTGATTCTCGGAAAACAGTGAACAGAAGTTGTAAGAGACCCCTCATAGCGCGAAGCCATAAAACGCCTGGACCCCTAAACAAGTACCCTAAACCCTAAACGCCTTAACCCCTAAACCCTCAACCCTAAACCCCTAAACCCCTAAACCCTGAACCCTAAGCCCCTGAACCCTGAACCCTAAAACCCTAAACCCTAAAGCCCTAAACCCTAAACCCTAAAACCCTAAACCCTAAAGCTCTCTCATGTTCGGAACATAAGCCAAGCCGAGCCTACTTCGATAGGACCCCTCCACTCCAGGCCCTCACAAGCTCGCAAGGGTTTTAGGGGCTTTGGGGCTTTAGGGCCTTTTTGGGTTTTCAGGGCTTTAGGGCTTTAGGGCTGTAGGATTTTCGTGTTTTTAAGGTTTATTTTTTCGGGCTTTAGGGCTTTAGGGCTTTAGGGTTTCGGGCTTCAGGGCTTTTGGGTGTTAGGGTGTTAGGGCTTTAGGGTTTAGGGGTTTTAGGGGTTTTAGAGCTTTAGGGTTTAGGGTTTTAGGTTTAGGGTTGAATGTGCATGAAACTGGATCGATCAAATTTATGAATAGTGAGAGCATCTATTGCAGACTTCTGCCAGTACCACCATGTCGACCCCTGAATCACCGAGCCCTCAGTGCCTCACAGATTCAAGGGCAGACTCCACTGCACGAAGTCGTGCAAAGGGCTGCAATGCCTGCCGCATCCATTGATTCAGCTGGCTTTGCGCAGGATAGGCACTTGGAAGGTGTTGCGTCGAGATGCATAAACCCTAAACCCTAAACCCTAAACCCTAAACCCTAAACCCTAAACCAGTATAAGGCTCTTCAGGCTTCAAGTTGTCGCGCTTCCATCTATTGAATCATGCCTCGCCCCTCCCCCTCTGTGTCTCTATAAACCTCGTTACTCGCTCCCCAATGACGCAGGCAGGTTTAGACGGTTGCGGACTCCCGTTTTCAGTGGATCCTAGTATCCCAGTGCCTTGCCTTTGTCAGAGCCTCCGACAGAGTGGAGGAAGAGAGGGTGCTGGTGCCAGGAACGAGATGCCACGACCTCACAGAAGAGTGCCGGGCTGAGTTTAGGGTTTCGGGTTTAGGCTTTGGGACTGGCCTGGCTTCAGCAATTTGGGGATTAATTAAAGGTTCAGGGGTGCAACGTTGAGCATCTGAGGTAAACGGACTGTCGTCCGCATGTCCCGAACAAGAAGGCCCAGCAAGGAAGAGCATCCGATATCATGGATGATGCAGAACACCTCTCCGCCTTCCCGGAAGCTCATCTATACTTCGAATATTCACCCTAAACCGTAAACCCTAAACCCCCAAAACCCCCCAAAACCCCCTCAACCCTAAACCGTCTCTACTATGCATATACCTTGCGACTGAAAATGCTGGTGACGTTGGACCTGGGGATTGGATGGCTCGGCTGTACCTTCAGGACCAAATGAACCCCAAGAAAGTTTCGGGTTCGTATACCATGTAGGGATCCATAGTACAAGGAAAAAGGGCCCCTACTTATAAGGGTCATTGGGTCCCCAAGGTAAGATATGCACGAGTTAAAACCTCCGAAGCTCCAAGTGCTCAAGGTCACTCACTGACCCTAAGGCTGCATGTACCCATATGGGTGGTTGTCAAAATTATGGTCCCTTTTTGGGTCCTTATTATAATACGGCACCTATTATTTGGGGTACCCCAAACGGGACCATATTTTTGACAACTACCCATATAGTAGATACTTTGGCCTTAAAGTACCTATGGAGAGACCTCTCTGAGGCCTAAGTATCTACTATCAAGGTACATGAAGCCTTTAAATAATATCATCCCCACCCCTGACCGCCCCCCCCCAACTTCCTTTAATATTCTGATCTTGACTTACGGTTTAAGGTTTAGGGCCAAGTTTAGAGTTTAGAGTTTATCCTGATCTTGAAGCCTTAAAACAGGAGGCACGAACACCCCAGTCGCCCCTGAATAGCGAGTAGAAAAAGGGATCCCAATGCTAAGGCCCTTCTAACAAGGGCTTGGGGCGGGGGGTCAGAAATCAGGGGTCTACATGACATAAACCACCTAAACCCTAAACCCTAAACCCTAAACCCTAAACCCTAAACCCTAAACCCTAAACCCTAAACCCTAAACCCTAAGTAGAAAGACTGGCTCTACACCTGTAAAACAGTTTAGCTTGGGGCTTAGGGATCTCGGGGCTTCGGGTGTAGGGGTTTAAGGGTACGGGGTTTAGGGCTTCGGGCCTTATAAGGCTGATGTAGGGGCCTTAATAATTAGAGTAGGGTTTTGGGGGTTTCTTATTTATAGTCAAACTATAAGATACCCCAAGACCCTACTCTAGCCATTAAGGCCCCTATACCCTAAACCTGATAGAACCCTTTAAGGAACCCTTTCAAGGAGCCCCCAAGGAGCCCTACTCTAATTATTAAGGCCCCTATACTTACTTCTGCAGTCCACATTCGATTGCCCAGGAGCAGGGAGACTCTAAGCTGCACTGCTTTGGGGGAGGTTGGTGGATCAGAGGTTAGGTGGTTTAAGGGGCTTAGGGCTTCGGGGGTTTAGGGGTTTAGGGCTTAGGGGGTTTAGGGTTTTTGGTGGTTTGAGTCACGATTTAAGACTCTCAGATGTAGTGCAAGTTTCCAGTGCCCTGTATGGAGTTACCCTTCCTCTAAGCTTACTTTGACACTATTCTAAAAGCCCGGCCGTAGGGCCAAATTGCAGTGTCGACAGAAGAGGGTTTAGGGTTTAGGGTTTAGGGTTTAGGGTTTAGGGTTTAAGGTCTAGGGTTTCTGTTGGCAGACCTGCTGATGCCTCAAACGGAGAGAGGCATGCATTGCCCGCGACGCTGAGTCTCCAGTTCTGCGTAAATAGGAACATACGCAAGTTAACTTCAGGAACTCCTTCCCTTCGGCGCCCCTTGGCACTCAGAGGAAAACACACACCCCTTCGGGGTGGGCAGATAGATGATAACTTGTAAGAACATGATTCAGAAACTCATGGTCCTTGACGAGCTCATGACTTAACATGCACCCTACGGTCTTGCAGTCTTGCAGTACTGGACATACCATTATTGCTTGCTTTGATTAGTCTTGCTATTTCTATCATGATCTATATTATCGCTGTTGTTACTACTGTTATTTCTATTGTTAATCTTGCGTCGTGGACTCGTTGGAAAGGACCCAGGGTCCCTGAACAAACGGGGCACCAAGCGTGCCTCACAGTCACTTTCGGCCTTTGCCTCAAGGCTCCACGTCTTTCACCGAGGTTTTCTCAACAATCTCTGCCAGGCGAATGTCGAAGAAGAGGTAAGCCTTGGAGTTTAAGGCTTACCTTAACCCCCAAATACCCTACCTTTTTAAGGACTCATATAAAGAAATCATAGTAAGGAACCCTAAAAAGGTAGGTTCTTCAGGGTCCAGGTAGGGTTGAAGGGTTTAGGGTGTAGGGGTTTAGGGCCTTCGGGCTTATGTCGAAGAAGAAGTAAGTAAGCCGTGGAGTTTGGGGATTTACTTGGACACCCTAAGGTACCTATACCTCTATGTGAGATAAGGAAAGCATGTAATCAGGAACCCCCCACAAGGCCACATGACCTCCTTAAGCCCTGCCACGATGAAGCATTGCTTGGAATTTGTGTCACAAGCACAGGCTCCGAACATAAAAACATGTAAAAGCTAAGCCGTTAGACCCTAAACCCTAGAGTATGCCAACCCTAAACCCTAAACCCTAAGCCGTAAACCCTCAACCCTAAAGTATGCCCCTCCTTTCGTCGGACCAGGTGCCACTGCGCAAAGACCGAAGAAGACCTCTGCGAGCAGATGCCCCAGCTTCAACAAGCACCTCGCATGGCGCTCTCTACGGTTCAGGGTTTAGGGCGTTTCGAGGGTTTAGGGTTTAGGGTATAGGGTGGTCTGTCCCTGGGGGTTTC